GGCCTGCCCCCTTCGGCCGCTAGGGAACGGCCTCTTCGCTCCGGGCGGGCAGCCAGGGTGCCCGGGGCGGCATTGCTTAAACCCGTCTGAAGAGATTAAAGGACCAGGAAAAGACTTATTCCCTCCTCCTCCCGCCACCCCCGCCTATTCGTGGGCAAATTTCGCCTGAATTAGAAGTTCCGGGGCTGAGATTGAAAAGGGCGCTCACCCTTAATGGTGGAGGACTGAACGAGGTTAGGGTGGCAGTGGGGAGAGAGGTGAAGGGTAGCCTGGTGGTCGGAGCCAGGGAAGGCGGGTATGGAGAATGGGTTCCCAGTTTGCAGAGCTGTGACATTGCCCCGGCGCCTGGGGGTCTGCGGGAGGCGGCCGAGAACAGCGAGTCCCTCACCCCGGGGGCTGCTTGTGTTGCGCAGGGTACCGAGCAGCATTGTTAAGCATTTAGAGTTGCAGTGTCCAACTGAAAAGGCTGGAAACCACTGTGGTAGTCGTCTCCCACTTTTTACATCAGTAGAGTTTCAGCTTTGCAGGGTTACTCTGAAATCTAGCAGTCCCTCATGTAACGGCTAGATTGGATCTTGAGGTTTGAATAGTCAGTATGACTAGAGCAGTGTGTAAGTCTGCTCTGAACTACGTGCTGAATCAGGGCCTTCTGCTGCATGTCTCTTGTAGAATAGTGGAGTGTTTTTGTATGTGACTTGGTTTTTGAAATAGTCTATGTGGATTATCACACAGGAAGCAGCTTTGGATGTAGGTGAATTCTTAAAAGTGAATTTGAGGCATGTGCTTTCCTTCTGCAAAACCCAAATTGTTTCTGAAAAGACTGCTGCGAAGTCTAATCAGTTACTCTGTTTCCAAGAAATGTGCGCTTTTCGCTCCTCCGTGCCTGTAACAGGTGAAGGCACTCGGTTGTCCTGGTTTAAAACAAAACTGACTTTACTCATACTATCACAGATAGTTTCAAGCATTTTAGAACCTTTGGTTTCTGTTTCATCTGCACTCTCAGTATGCTATGCAAAACAGTGATTGAGTTATTTCAGTTTCATTTTCAGTTTCACCACTGGAGTCTCAAATAGCCTGGGGTTATGGTGTGGTTTGTTTGGTTTTGTGTTGTGTTGGTTTTTTTTTTAATCCAGAATAAATTATTTTAATTTCATTCTTATTTAGATTTCAGGAAAGCTTTCTTAGTTGCTGCTGCTTTTTAGCAAAATTTGAAAATCTGCTTCACACAGGCTGTCCTGCACAGGTGAATATTCTAAGTAAGCAATATAAATATTTAGATGTTGATATGGATACATAATTTTTTTGTATCATATTAAGTGAATTTATTATGCGCAGATATTTAGTTTTGGACAGTATTTTAGGAACTAAGTACGTTTATCTCAGATGCTATCCCGTTTACATTTAGAAATTGCCTTTCTGTAACATTCTAGATAGGCAAAAACAATACAAATTGAGGTTCTGAGTCATCTTTAGTTCTCCAAACTCCTGGGGGTCATACAGTGAAGAAGCATTAAAAATACTCTAGATTATGAACTCATACCAGGGAAGTAATTATAAAGGATCCATAATTCTTGGACCTAAGTTTGCCAAGATTGAGACACTCAAGGTATAAACCGAATTCTTGCTGTAACTAAATGTATCTGTTTAAAAGTACAGCTCCAGAGAAATACTTTGTGACTCTCTGGATTCGAATAAAATAGCAGACATAAATTACGGCATTTTGTATGCTTCTCCATAAAATATACTTACATGAAGAGTTTATGCATGCTGGTATAATTTATTTTTATCCCTATATGTGAGGCATCCTTTCAACTGACAAATATTTGTTGTGTTTCTATTCGCCTAGTTACTGTTATGCTACAACGAGGATATGATTTCTTCTATTTAAAAAAAATTGCATAATAAGAATGTGTTGTATTTCAGTAATCTTTCAGCTGTGATGAAAGCCATAAATAAGTATAGAATTAAACTGAAAATACTCTTAAGTCTCTACCAGTACAGAGACATAAAAGGGACACCACCTTGATGATTTTCGTAATGTACATTTCCTTTCAGAGGACTTGTAGTATGTTTCAGCCTCTAAATACTTTGAGTTCTGTCACAACTTTTAACATAATTTTTGGTGAACCCGTTTCATGACGAGTTGTGACTCTTAGGAGGCAAAAGACTGCTTGGACTTCCCTGAGATTCCTAAATGTTTCAAGAAATTTGGAATAATTTGGGGGAAGGAATGAAATAAGGGGCGCACAGGTTAGAAGCTTTCTGCCCAACCTGTCTGCAGTAAATCTTTTGATGTTATATTGATGTAAATCTACATGAGAAGTAAGATTTTAATGTGTCACATAGTGCTTATTGAAGATGATGAGTTACATATTTCTAGAAGCTGTAGAAATCTGCATAAAATTCTTTCTTTTGAAAGAGAACAAACAAAATTTTCAGTATTGGATATCTATAACTATATTTTTGTAACTTTTTAAAGTACCTTCATAGCTGGTTGCATTTTTCAGAATCTGAAGCTTTAGGTATTGCAGTAATTTTCACAACAAGGTAGTGTGTGAAAGTGTATGTGACTGATTTTGGAATTTTTCACCTAACCCTTGCCAATTTTATAAAAAACAATATTAACTGATCTATAAATGATGAAAAATTGAATATTAAGTCCATCTAATGTAATGTGCATTGAACTTGCTTCTATAGCTGACATATTTGCTTCTGATTAGGGAAGGTAGGATATCATCTGATAGGAAGATTTCCAAAATATTTGTGAATACTTAATAACTGTGAGAATAAAATCCTTGAATGAGGTCTGAGGCACTTAGAAGGTTCTTGACTTTGTACACAATCCAAGTGTTACCCCATAGAACCTGCATCCATATCCTTTAGTGGCTAACACTAGGCTATGTGAAAGTGTTGCTGACTCTGATCCTCTGTGACTTTATCTCCCCCATCTCTTTAACATAATTGAGAGTGATTAAGTTGTCCTTGAGTTCCACCTTGATAGATCAGCTTACCTTCAATAGGGAAGTTCTTGCCCCTGAACTGCCAGTGAAAGTACTTCATCCCTTTCATTCAGAGTCCTTCTGTATCATTATTTGAAGTGTTATGTAACACCCATTTTTCAGCACTTATCAATGTGGTTCACCCTTCTGGAGTTTTTTCCTTTTGGATTACCTTCTTTCGAGCTGTGGGATGAAATCTTAGGGTTTTTGTCTGTCATTCTAGTTGCCAGGAAGTTAGCAGACTGGAAAATAGTGCTCTCATTTAGTAAGTAAAATATGTGTACAGCATGTCTAGACAGCTTGTTATTTAATAGGTAAAATTAATTGAAGGACTTTTTTTTTTGTAGGAAACTCTAACTGTAATAGAAAAAAACAGTCTTCGTGCTAGTGTACTACAGTTACATTCTGCTTTATTATAAATATTCAGCAAGATTTAATTAATGTAGTTTATAAGTGGTGCTCACTTCACTGTGTAGTATAAGCCAGAGGAAAATGAATAACTAAATTTTAATTTTTGGTGTACTGGCTGTACTTTTAAAAAAACAAAACCAAACACTTTTGTAGTGTTAAATTTCTACTTATTTTCCTACAGCAAATCCTAACAATGCTGAGAATTACACAATAGATTGCTTTTCCTTAAAATGCTTTAGTCCTTTCCTACAGAAGACTACTGTTCTAACTGCTAGTATATAGTATAATTAAAACTATTAAACCTACTTATGTGTGCGCTTATCTGACACACAGAGTACAGGGTTAGCTGGCTAAAATAAACAAACGCCCCCTCAACAAATAGAACAGAAGCTAGAGATCTTTGATACCTAAATAAATACTTTCGTTATAGTTGTACTGTTTAATAGCTGATCCTGGCATTTTAGCATGTTGTAAAAACATGCAAAACCAATACTGAAGATACAGAAGGAAAAATCTATTCAATTTGTATGAAATATACAACTAGAATAATGCCCCCTAGGATCTATCTTCTCAACTTACTGTGCAGGTTTTATTTTGAGCTATGACAAGTAGGTTTGTTACATAATTGTGGCCAATAGCTACCTCATCACCAGTACAGAGACAGGATTGAATGTTGCCTTTGTTGATCTGTGCCTAAACTTGTAGGGGGCTGAATATATTTTAAATTAGAAATTATATGCTCTACAAGCTGCGTGTATAATATTAACCTTTCCTAACTGACAAATGAACTTAGGAAAACTGCTGCAAAGATAAAATGGTTTTTAGCATTGTGCTTAAAGCTGAACTAAAGCTAAATTAACATGCAGACAACATGACACTGTAGTATAGAAAGTTTAGTCATGTATTTATTTTTATTTAAATTTTTGTAAGGAGTAGTGACTGTTTTATGTAAATTATTATCCTTGCCGGTATCCCTTGGTGTTGTGAAACATAAGATAAGTCGGCATATACAAGCAGATCTAAAAGAGAGATGGTTTCTAAAGCAGCTTAGTTTTATACAATACCTTCACCATAACTCAAAGTCACGTTGGACTGTACAGGCACAGGTTTACCAGCTTGTTCTGACCATTCACAGAGGGGTGAGAATAAGGCATCTGGGATCAAAAGTTGTTGCCTTTGCAGCCACTGTCTCCTTTGTGTGGAGAAGACTGCTGGATTCTTGTGTGCCACTTCCAAACAACTCCTGCACAGCTAGTCATACAAGTAGTGTCTGCTCTGTAGTTGTGCTGGTTTTGGTTGGGATAGAGTTAATTTTCTTCATAGTAGCTAGTAAGGGCTATGGTTTGGATTTGTGCTGGACACAGCATTGCTAACACAGGGATGTTTTTGTTACTGCTGAGCAGTGCTCACACAGAGCCAAGGCCTTTGCTGCTTCTCACACCACCCCACCAGCGAGTGGGCTGGGGGTGCACAAGGAATTGGGAGGGGACACAGCTGGGACAGCTGACCCCAACTGACCAAAGGGATATCCCAGGCCATATGATGTCATGCTCAGCATATAAAGGGCTGGGGGAAGAAGGAGGAAGGAGGGGATATTTGGAGTGATGGCGTTTGTCTTCCCAAGTATACCTGTTACACATGATGGAGCCCTGCTTTCCTGGGGATGGCTGAACACCTGCCTGCCCATGGGGAGTGGTTAATGAATTCCTTGTCTTGCTTTGCTTGTGTGCGTAGCTTTTGCTTTACCTATTAAACTGTCTTTGCCTCAACCCACGAGTTTTCTCACTTTTACCCTTCTGATTCTCTCCCCCTTCCCACTGGGGAGGAAGTGAGTGAGCAGCTGCATGGTGCTTAGTTGCCAGCTGGGGTTAAACCACAACAATAGTATAGAAGAAATTAACTTGCAGTTAAATTCATTGCAGTGTTGTGAGATTCACAAGAGTTTTCCTTCTCTCCAGTGTTACCTACCGATTGTCAGAAGGTCAGAAGTCAAAAATGTACTCT